TGAGAGTTATTGAAATTTATACCAAATTACTATTCGGTTTAACATTTATTTCCGTACTTGAAATAAATTTAGTAAGGAGACTTTTCTCCTACGCCACTTCTTCCCCTAGCGGAAGCCGAGTTTGCACGTCGGTGTACAAAAGGGCGAACACGCAACTGGTATGTGTGCAGGAGAGCACCAGAGACGAATCGCTCGAAACGATGCTGAACCATGGACATAGAAATAAATTATTATTATTATTCCTATATCCATGTGCTGAACCAACGATCGCAGCGTCGATCATTCGGAAAAGATTTGGGGCACAGCGTCGTTCCGACTGTTCCTCGACACCTTCGAGTTGTCACCGTCTTCTTGGGCCCTGAATCACACAAGCTTAGTTTATGTGGTGGTAGACCGTGAGTTCCGTCGTAGACGCGACCGTAGAATCAGCCTTAACGCGCGCGACGATTAAATAATGTTGTTTGTTATCAAATTAATTATTGTTATTTATTATTCCCGGAGACAGTAGCGTGTAGATACATTGTGAAACGCGTTAAAGTGAACGTTGAATCTGTTTGGAGGTTATGTACCAATTATGGTTGAATCGGAGATGGATGAACCGGATGAGAAATCGATAACGAAAGTGTGATTTAATAATTTTGTTACGTTAACAGATTTAAAGAAGGAGAATTTCATCCATGTCTGATTCACGGTTTCCGTTTTGATAGCACGATTTGATCGGTAGATCGAAAGTGGAGGAATAATATATAAGGTCGTTTCGTCGACGGAACTCGCCTCTATAGTCGAGTCGCGATTCTGTCTGTATTATATATATATACATATACTGTGTACATAGATCGATAGTCGTGTATTTATATATATATATATATATCTATTGGTAACTGTATTGATTATTACTGCTATCATTAGTGTCATCATTGTCATCGGTATTTATCATTATCTATTCGAATATTTATCCGTACCATCGGTAACGATCCTTAACATCCACTCTCCTCTGTAAGGTATCTATCATAAAAATCGCCTTCTCCCCCGCCACAAGAGGTTGTCTTTACAATCCCACATTCTTTGTTCACTGTCACAGACAGGGTGTCCCAAAATAAGTGTAAATCCTTGAACAGGATGATTCCTGGGGTGATTTGAAACAATGACTTCAGGAATCACACCTTTCAAGAACTTACAAGTATTTTGGGACACCCTGTATATACCACCGAGTCACACTTTTATTAAACGTGTTGTGCGATTTCATTACCACCCGATTTCCTTTGAATTTTACCGTATTGTTACCACCGCGTCACGAATCACAAGCCAGCATTTCTATTTATTACAATACCACCTGGTCATTTTTACTACTACCTTCTTCCTTTTTTTTTTCATCATCATTATTATTGTTCTACCGTCACAGCTGCCGCTGCTATACATCTGTATTTTTACTATATTACTATTTACTTACTTACTTACTATTTACTTACTATTTTACTTACTTACTTACCTTTTTTTTTTTTCTTTCTTCATTTCACTTGATCCGCCACGACGTGTTCACCGCAAAAGAAATAAGATAGAATATATGTCGGAAACTTTAGCGAACGTGGAACGATAGCGAAAAGGGGAAAACACCCCCGTGTGTGTGTGTGGCGTAGCCCCGTGCTAGAGAAAGAGCGAAACATTTATCATAAATGGCACAATTTTCTACGATTTTTTACTTTTTTAGGCGTGATGATTCTTCCCTCTTCTTCTTTGCAGTTTTTGTACGATACTTTACAGTCCTCTCACGATTTTTTATAACTGTAATGCGCTGCCTACCGCCCGCTGCCTTCTACCACTTCTGCGACTGGCAACCTTTCTTAACGGGTGCTGAAGCGACCGAGTCTGTGTGTATCTTTTTGTTCTTTCTTAAAGTGAAATTTAATCGAGTTTCGCTAAATACGGGGTAGTTCGATGGGCCACAACCCTATTTTCTCTGGATATTGACACCGGGAGGATTAAGGTTTCTTGTGTGTGTGTGTTTACCACACCCCCTCCATCCCCTCGATGCAAACGAGAAACATCGTTCTCACTTCAACGTCAGGATTTAGTCCATTAACGATGGAACTACCGACCATAAATGTGAATTCAATCGAAAAAAATGAATGGCAAACTTTTCGATAATTTATAAATGATTGCTTCACGTTCGTCAGAGTTGGAACTTCATTCTGAGCTTTAAACGGTTAATGAGATCACATAATTGTTTGCCAAATGTCGACTAATTCAAGGGAAAGTATTATTTCATTAAAGAAATTGGATTGTCCACGTTGAAAACGTAAATAATGAATTTACCCATATCTGACGTTCATATCGTGATAAAAATTTGAAAAAGATCTAAGATAATGAAGATTGTTGGAACAATTTTAGCATCTTAACTGTCACAGTGGAAAAGGCCGTACGTAGCCAGACACGATTTGTTACGTTTTTCAAGTGATATTCGTCGACAGTATACGCATTCGGATAATAGAATATAAGATGCACCAATGAATGAACATTACATATAAAAACAATTAACTCAAGTCACTGATATAAACAAATAATTAAATATTGAATGTTTCAATTCCTTTTCTTCATATTCAAACAGTTTTCACGCCACTGATTAGAAATTCATTTACCACTTAATATTGTTCATTCTCCGATAAAATCTGTGTATTTTTCCTTTTCAATTGAATCGATTACATTTATCCAACTTTTCAACATCAAATCTATACGTTCTAAACAGGTACAGATATTAAACAATCTAACTTCCATGTGACCGATATTTATTAATATTACGATCGTTTAAAATTCAATTTTAATAGTTACAAAATCTCTTAAATGTTCATTCATTGCATTGGCCCCAGTAATAATTTTTATCCAGTAATTTTCGACCACTTCGGAAGTTCTAACGTTAAAAGTTTCATCCTGCCCACAGAAGAATACAATTTAATTCGTACATCGAGTTATTGCAGATTATTTAATTTCCTTATAATCAGATCTGATGTTTCTCGTGTACACGCCAGGGGATGGGACACGTGTTTTAACGATACTAACACGCTTGGAATCGTATTCAGAGTGCACGAAAGAGAGCGGAGCCACCGAACTGCTCGATGACGAGTCCTCGTTCCTATAGGATCGTGAGGAACGATTCCATTCGGAGGATCCTCATCGAGCAACGGATAGAAATAGCGATGCAATCGACGCAAAAGGCGTCTGACAATAGCTGGAAAGCGGTGGCAAGGAGGATCGGTCCTTCGTGCGACCGTTTTTCGAACGTCAGTTAACATATATATACAAACGATCTTCTCTTCCGTCCGAGGTGACCAGTCTTTCCGTACGCTGAACGTAATCTCACGATTTACAAATTTCAATCCATCGATCAGTGTTCGAATTTCTTCCAATACGATATTGGCTACTTTTTTTTCATTTGTAATTTCAATGGAAATTCGAATATCCGAGTATTCAGGATGACGAGTGGACTGCGGATTTTAATGCGAAAATGACATTTTTCTAAAATAATTCATACAGACAAGAGCAAACGTCTGAATTTCTTTTCCTGCCTTAATAAGTATTTTATTGGACTCAGAATACAATGTAAAACTCGTTGCACTTGATGAAAGTTTTGTCTTTGATTTGTATTTTTCAGAGCCCTATAAATGCATAAAATCCGCAGTCCAGTGATGAGAATATTGAATTTACTAGGTAGTTCGAGTTAGAGATACAGCGACTCGTATATTTGTTCGAAAACTACAGAAATAACGATTCGGTATAAAATCTTTTATACAAAATATTTATGTATTTTCAGTGTCGTCTTTTCGTGATATAAATTTTTTTCAAAATTTTCAAGACTAAACTCGTATTTGTTGGTAAATAATTTTACTGAACTGGAAATGACAGTCCTCTGACTAAGACTAAGTCGTATCTACTAAGACGTAAGTCGCTGTGTCCGTTCCTCGTGTTCAGCTTTCCGATTCTCACTGTGACAGTGCTCTGCTCCACGGCGTGAAATGGGACCGAAGTGGGAGGTCAGGTAACGAAGAAAGAGGACGAAGATATTTTTTCGGGGCAATTTCCGTTTTAATATAGTTAATCACAATGAAAGGAACAGTTTGGACCCTCGAGGGTTCACACGGGAGTCGACGTCCGCCATTTTCCTCGGTCCGTTTCCGTTTTCGCGATCGTTTCGTTATCGCGTGCAAATGAAACGTTGGTGACGATATTTTTCATTCGAAAAATAATAAATAGACTGTGGATTATTCTGATTGAATATTTAAACTTTTTGCAGGTTTTGACTTTTTTCCCTTTTTAACAAAGCAGTCTTCACGTGTTCGTCTACTCCACTGTGGTCGATTCTATTACAGTTCTGTCTTGAAAAACCTTGCAAAAGCCTAGTAAATGACTACTACATTTCTAAAAGATTTTTAATAAGAATTGTATACAACTACACTCCATTCAAGAACATTGAATAATTTCTCAATTTATAATTTACATTTCTTTGCCTAATGGTCATTCACTGGTGTGCAGTCAATTAGTGGTTGGTTTACCCTATATATTTATGCAAATAAATAATTCCGTTATTTCACACTCAAAAGTGGAATTCAGACTAGAAGCTTCGGACGGTTTTTTATCATTTTCAAATGCAGTGTAATTATAACGAGTAGTATATTAACGAAAAATTTCACAAGATCGACCTCGAGGGACCACGAAATTTTCGGTTCAAAATCGCAGATGTGACTCTTTCTTCGTCCCTGGCGCTCCATCCCCTCCCCGTGAAGAGCATATCTACGGCCTAACATCGGCCGTGTGTGCGAGGTCTCTCACGACACACGTCCATTTGTCTCTATCGCTATCAACGTGTGTACAAATCATAAAATTTGTACATATATGTAAATATGCAATACATGTATAACGTGTGTATATACATATACATATATGTATGTACATACTTGTACGGTTTACGGGGTGCTTGGGACACATTTCTAATCAATGGTGGATGGCAGGTGCCGGCCATCTCGCTAGCTTACGAGGCACCGGAGTCGGACATTATGAAACGGCAGCCCCGCGATCCTTACAGAGACAATCTTGTCAACCGAAGGTGGGTCACCAAACTACCCACCAGACGAAATCACAGCTCCTATTGTTCCAATGCCGCAACACACACACACACACATCGACACGAAAACATACACACATACATATCACGGGCGGCCAAACGTCTAGAAATTTCATATTTTGTTTTTTTTTACGTGTTTCATTAGTTTAATAGAATTTAGTTTACAGAATTCGTCAATTTTTACGAATCTTTTCGCGAAACTTTTTCCGTACAGTGTTCCGTCGATTATTGTCAATAACTCGGGTCCGCGTCGTGACAAACATCGAACAGGAGGAATGCTTCAGACCCTCGTAAATTTGTTTTTTGCCTAGGCAGATTCACTTTTTTCCCTCTGCCCCTACCTGACCACGCCCCCATGGTTTGTAGCACGATCGTTCGACAATGAAGTCATCCAAAACGTACACGATTGCGTCCAGTGTGGCATTTAATATAAGTATTTGGAAATAGAAAAAAATCGGTGATTTCTAAAAAAGAAAAAAGAAAACAAATCAGTGTTTGGCCTCCCGACAGACACAGAGAGCACACCCAACTCGACCATATGTATGTGTGCACGACGCGCATATATGTATATGCGGACACTGGTTGTGTTTACACTAGCAAAACGTAACAGAGTGTCTACTGATGTCCGATTCGTATCCACGTTTGTTTTACAATTTTACTGGACCATACAGATCTCTCGTTGTTCGTTGGTTATATATAAATATATATATACATACATACCTATATACTCGCTTGATATTTTACTCTTATTCTGTCTTTTTTTTTCTCTTTTTTTTCTTCTCTTCTTCATGCACGCGACAACGAAAGTGTGTTTTTGATCGTATATATATAATGTACGCACTTTCATTCTGCACTTGAAAATATATTTTTCTATTCGAGGCGTGAACGCGATAAAAAAACGCTTACAGAGCGTGTATGTATATATACAGGGTGTCCCATTTAAATCGACCCACTCGAATATCTCCAAAACTGTTGACGATATTACAGAATGTTGCAGACAAAAGTTACATTGTATCAGGGGGCACACTTTCTGATGTAACTTTTTCTATGTGGACGCGTGGAGGTCATATGAAGGTCAACTTTGTTTTCTTTAATGGAATCGGATACTTTTTAATGCATTAATTCGCCTATGGAGGGAATAACAAGTAGCTTCAGCAGTGCATTAAAAAAATACACGATTCCATTTAAAAAAAAAATACAAATTTGTCTTTTAACTTTTGTCTGAAACATTTTTTAACGTCGTCAATAATTTTTTAGACATTCGAGTGGATCGATTTGAATGAGACGTTCTGTATATGTATACACTCCCGTTCATAAGTCACCGGACACTTGTGTGTTTTGAGAAAGAAAATGAAAATCGAAACAGAAATGTAACAATCTTGAAGGAATTTTATATTTATCATTCGTTAACAAACTCCCATTTGATTAACACAGTTAGCTAAGAACTACCTTAAATAGATATTTCAGATTCATCGCAACAGAGAATACAATTTATATTATCTCTCTCCTCGCGATATGCAAAATTAATAATTCTTTTATTTTGAAATTCAAGTGACTTTTCGAGTCTGATTCTTTTCTATTCCATCGTTTAGTATCGTAAGTGTCCGTTGACGTGTGGGACAGGACACAAGAGCTCCATTTAAAATTCGCGACGAAAATCGTAAAAAAATCGGTTGCCCGATGTATTCTCGTGATTTATTATCGGAAAAATATATTCGTTTTTTCTGTTTTATTTTTTTTTTTTTCTGTTCGACGACGACACGCAGCATCTCTCGTCGTTGAAAAAGATTTTTTTATTGTCTGTCCTCGAGATCGGGAAACGTTACACGCGAGTCACGGTTGACACTCTATGCAACGATTTCAGAAAACACGTCCCTAAGAATTACTAACCCCTAGTTGAATGCCGAATGCTTTTTTTAGCCGTACACACATAGAATCTTTCGCGTGCGATCGCTAACGTTGTACAGGACGTCGCCCCGTTTGATTCTTTGGTCGTTCAGAGAGAGTAGACGATTCGAAAGGTACAAAAAAAGTGGGGTGGGGAGAAGAACTGATAAAGCTCTACGTGTCGAAAATCTTAACAAATTCAGGACGGGTCGTAATTTTGTTTTTCCAACCCCATGGAAATGAATTTTTTTTTGTAAAAGAAATTTATAAATATTTTCAAATATACAATTGAGCCATTAGAAAAAACTTTGTGAATTTCACTAATTTTCATTGCTGACAAAACAAGAACTAATGATACTAATTAACTGATACTGAAGTAATAACTGGTGATGCTCAAATAAGAACTAGTGATACTGAAGTAATAACTAGTGATACGAAAGTAATACAAGTATTATTAGAAGTATTACTTTACAAAATCTTACTGCTTATTTTCATAAAAGATACCAGACGACTGTATCCAAATGACAAAATCGAAACCATCATATTGAAATTATTCTACTCATTACCATCAAGTTACTGCATTCTTTGCTTAACTGAGTAACATAGTACCACGATCTCGAATAATAAAAAAATATCAATTGTTTAAATCATACTGTATTAATGATACTGTTGCTTATTGACTTATGCAATTATTCCAACAAAATTCTGGCCTATCTCCCCCATTCTTGTGGCGACCTTCGTCTGGGTTAAATATTCGTTATTGGGTAACCAGATCGTTCATCCGATCCTCTATCTCTCGAGAGCACCAAGAAATCAAGGGAACGTTCCTTTCATCGCCAAGTCTCTCTAACGACATCATCCCGCGAACAAAGCTTGAAAACTAAAAAAAAAAAAAAATAGAAAAATTAACGCGTTATCGTGTTGCATTGATTAACCGTTTGCACCAAGGTATGCGTAATACATACGGAGTAAACGCTGGGCATTAGAGGGTCTCTCGAGTATTCGAATAGCGGAGAACGAGAGCCCAAAATCACGTTGATCTCTCGGTGAAGAAGGACCGCAAGTTCTGCACACACGAGAACCATGCACGGCCTTGTGAGCGAACGTTTCATGCGAATCAATTAATTAATTAACGATCCTCCAAGCCCCCCCCCCCCCTGTAGAGAAACACCAAGCACGAGCTTGGAATAATATCGGTTACTAACCGCTTGTACCAGCGGGCATTGAAACAGTTTCCGAAAGAAACATTTTTCCCTGTACAGCAAGTAACTTACGATCGTAATTTGTGATCCTCGAGTTACCAAAGTGACTCACCCCCGTTTATAGAGGGTGGTTCACCTAACGTGACCACCACAACGATTACTCGTGAATTATTGGTTTGTATGAAATGAATAATTTCGAAGAAAATCGCATGGCATCAAGGGGGACATTGCCAAGAGTTTTCAAACGTTATCCCCACCACTGGGTAGGTCCCCCGTGGAACCAGTGAAGCGTCCAATAGTGGGAATAATGTCTGAACACTGTGTCGAGGAGCCTTCGAACACTCATCGATGATTCACTGTAATATATTTTTTTACTATGTTACATTTTCATCAAGATTACACATTCACCTTCAGTTTGTTTTATTTTTTATGGAATGCCAAAATGCTTCTTCCCGAATTTCGATACAGTCTCAAATACTGCATAAAAAAGGTGTTATATCGATAGGTCTAAAGGAAACCTTTTTCTGAGATTTTATGCAGTATTTGGCACTTTTTCGAAATATTTAGGCATTCCATTTAAAAAACAACATTGAAGGTGACCGTTATATCTTGATAAAAATTGTACGACAGTACAGAAAATATTATTGATTTACATCTCTTCGGTGATACACTCCACGATGTGACTTTCGTTTGAAAATATTTTTTCGGTTCAGTCCACGATAATGCCACGATTAATCGAGGTGGGTAGCACGTTCGGTGAACCCACCCTATATGTCCCGGGGTGTTGCGTGACCAACCTCTATCGCGCGTCTTTCTATCGTCGATCCTCTGACGAGAATCTGTCTTCGCTGCCAATCTGGTTTCATTACGATCTGAACGCCTTTACAAAGCTAATTGGACCGATGACACGCAGCAGCCAGTCGCATGCAAACCGCCGGTCGTGTGGAGCTGATCCCGCGTGGAACTTGTAGATTTCCAGCGTAACTCGATTCCGCGAATCAGGATTTGGTATCTGTATCATAACCAGCAAAAAATCGAATCGTGGAACGGAATTCTTATTGTGTTTCCTGATCTTTTTCGTTCTTTTCTTTCTGTCTCTCGAAGATTCTACGGTCAAGCTGTATAAAAGGAATTCTTGATTGGCTAAACGCCCTCGATATGCGTCCGCCATCTTTGAAAACAGTATTTAACAGTTTGCAGAGCTGCAAAAGCTCGAAAATGATCATATTTTTTTTTAGGATAAAGTTACCCTCAACTTACGGTAATGTAATGGAGGGAAACATTGGGTACTTTACGTGTCAAAAAACTGTTGCTGTTGAAAATAAGAAAAATTAATATACATAAAATACGTGAAAATAATCGGTGAATTTTAAGGCAACTACTTTTGGAATCGAGAAATTCGAAGGCAACACCTTTTGTTGTCGAGAAATATATACAATTCCTGCGTGATCAGCACCCAACTTGACAGTTCACCGTTCACGATGTTTGAAACGACACCTGTGGCCTGCTTTTCTCTGTGTCGGGGCCCGGTATCTCGCCCTGTCTCACGGTTCGACGCGAGCCTGCACGCCCCCTAGGCTCCTGAGACGACACATTAAAGGTGCGTCTTCACGTGACAGTGAATCGTAACACTTTCACGGTGATGACAGTAAACTGTTATGTCTAAACTGCGGCTGTTTATGCACTTATAGCGTACCTTAAGTCGAAAAACGTTTAATAAAGTTAAACACTATTTAAGGTGCGTATCCACTTATTGAGTGTTCTCGGACATCGTATCACCGTTGTGTATCAATGTGGACGGGCAAACGTTGCATTGTTACGCATGAAAGTTTATCGTATGGCGATACGACACGATGATACGCAACAAATGGATACGCACCTTTATGGGTTATTATTATCCTCGTAGCTTCAGCGGTCTAAATACGATATTTCGTCGTCGTGAAAATTAGATGTCGCATTTTCATGGGGCATTAAGTTTACATTGTAACTGTGCAGTGTCACGAGAAAATTCCAATGACTTTGTCACGTGAAGACGTACCTTTATGACCGTACTGTGCACCGTGAGACACGGGCTGTCGCGGCCCAGCGATCTGTGTCTGTCCTTTGTCTGTCTGTCTGTTCTGTGCCTTGCGCTTTAGTGTGAAAGCATGCCTCGTCGTGAAAAGCAACCGATCGTAAACCGCCTGCATTTCGATCCGGTAAGTAATACGCATTATAATCTCGACTACGGCTTACCGTTCTAATAACACACACCACCATTAGGGCTAATTAGGAGCTAATGTTAGTGGCCATACACGAAGCGCTTCTTTTAACCGTCGCGACACCCGAAGAGCCGATCAACATTCCCACGATCGAGAAACAACCGAATTGTGTCTTGGTTGATCGAGATATAGAGCTCTTGCGCGTGTATGTACAGTAAACCTTGGATTAGTGCCCAAAAATTGGGACTGAAGCACGAGCGCTTACGAAGTAGAAGAATCGATTCCAAGTATAGAATGAACGCCGAGCGTAGAAAAGGACACCAAACAAAAACGAAAGAAAGACCGACAAAGTTTACATGCCTGTGTGTCAGTGAAACAACACTCATGCAACAATGACAATGTTTTATTTATTCTTTTTTTACAAAAACTTTTCCTAACGTATTTGTACGATTTTTCTGATTAAAATGACACCGAACACGATATAATTTTGATTTAATCAGAAATATCTCGCAAATACAATAGTGAAAGTTTCATTGAAGAAAAAAAAGATAAAAAAATCATCGATACGCAGGCATTTAATCTTTTCTGAGCTCCCATTGAGTTACATTGTATGCTTGACTGGTAGTCAGGGGACGCCACCCCAACGGTGGGAATGAATACCAAGTGCTTAAGCTGTAGATTGTATCGAGCACTAATCAAACTTTTACTGTACTCGGTTCGATAACGTGGAGGTGCTCGAGAAATTCGGTTCTTCGGGGGCCGTTGTCCCGAGATACGCAGCACACGCGTACTCGGGCGTACGTTCGACAATTTTTTAGGGCGGTCTAACCCATCGCCTCTGTGTCCTCCAGGCTTATATCGATGGCGTACGGTCAGATCGGTATGATCCAGGCGGCCGCCGGTTTCTTTGTCTACTTCGTGATAATGGCTGAGAACGGATTCTTACCGTTGCATCTTTTCGGCATCCGAAAAATGTGGGACTCGAAGGCTATCAATGATCTCCGCGACAGCTACGGCCAGGAATGGGTGAGTAAAATAATTAGACATGAAACGTACCATTTCACGGAAGAAACTTTAACAGGCGTTTTATCGTTTAAAAAATCGGTATCTTTTTTTACTTTACGTCTTATATCTTGGAACTGAGCGGATATGGGGGAAAATATTGAAGACAATAGTTATAGGCAATTAAATAATCTATAAAACAAGATATGTTTCGTTAAGGTGGCGCCACTAGTTGTGCTGCAAATTGTTTTTGCAAATGTTTTTTTCGATTATTTTATGATGAAATGGTCCCAGTATACTATGGGGATTGAAAAGAATATATTCAAATAAAAATCTGTGCCTCAAAGAGTTAACGGTTATGTATACTCGTAACGAAAAATCTCTGGGCTAGAAGTAGTAGCGAAATGGAATGTAGGCGCAGGGGGACGTTGTTGATGCTGACACGGTTCTTTCCCAATCTCTGCAGACGTACAGGGATCGCAAGACCCTGGAATTCACCTGTCACACGGCCTTCTTCGTGTCGATCGTGATCGTCCAATGGGCCGACTTGATCGTCTGTAAGACGCGACGTAACTCCATCATCCATCAAGGAATGAACAACTGGGCCCTGAACTTCGGTCTGGTGTTCGAGACCGCCCTAGCCGCGTTCCTAAGCTACACGCCTGGCATGGACAAGGGTCTTCGCATGTTCCCTCTCAAGTAAGTAGAGAGCTTTACATACTTACTCTTTGTCTCTATTATCGAAGAAGTATCACAAGTACATTTTACTGAGAAAGGTTAAGAAACAAAATAATCGTTTGGGAATTACTGTATATTTTTTGTGTTCTAAGATGCACAGGTTGGAATTAAAAATAGCACAAGGGTAACATTTCATACACGAACAGTAGGTTTTTTTAGTGCAATAACTTTTTTTCTGAATATATATGTATAAAGACTACAGTTAATATTGAGTCGAAAAAACAAAACACAATGATTGAATCATGCAATCACTTTTAACAGAGTCATCATATTTAATATTAGAACTACCAAATCCGTGAAAATCACGGATTACAGATTTACTATTTTGCCATTACTGGAATTATAGTGGTGTTTTTGGCGGAATTTATTAGGGCTTTTAATTTGCCATAACTTTTATTCTGTATATTATTGTATTATACAATTTAATTTCGTATGCATTCCATGCTGGTAGTTCTAGTGTTAACCGTTTCAATAATGTGGGCTCGGCGAATAAACGAATATTTCTGAAATTTCAGATTCGTCTGGTGGCTGCCCGCCATTCCGTTCATGTTCGCCATCTTCATCTACGACGAGACGAGACGATTTTACCTGCGCCGGAATCCAGGCGGCTGGCTCGAGCAAGAAACTTACTACTAGACGCGAGAACAAGGAGAATTAATCATACACGCAGAGCGCGCGCGCAAGAGTAAGAGAGCGAGAGAGGATGCAGAGAGAATGATATGTGAGTGAGAATGAGAGAGCGAGAGAAAGTGAGAGAAAGTGAGAATGAGACGCATACCCGCGCAGATATACACCGAATAACAAAAAAAAAAATTAAATAAATACTAAATAATTAAACAACCAAAAAAAAAAAATAATGAAAGCAACAACAACAACAAGAACAACAACAACAATTAAATCACTCACGTTTAAACACACAACATTTTACCCCCCAATGGGGCGTGCTATATCCGGGTCTATCCGTACTTGTCGCGAGATCACGAGAAATACATATATCTATATATATGCATGTGTAATTAATATTCAGAGGGTTGGGGAGGGGGGTGGGGGCAGAGAGGTTCGATGGGGCCGAGCCGTATCGTCGTCGCTGGAACGAGTGAGGAAAACTTGGGATCATTACGAACCGACAAGAACGATGGAGAAGACGGTGGTGGTGATGATATCTTGCAGCCAGAATGTAGGGGGGCGGAACGCTGTTGAGAACAGAGGCCAGACACGATGGGAGAGTGTAAAGTAGAAAGATGAAGAAGAAATTACGAACCGAAAGGAAATGAGAACAAAACGAACGAGAAAAAACAACACAATTAATATATATATATATATATATATAGAAGAAAAAAGGCTGCAGGGAAAAAGACAAAGGGAACGAAAGATGTATAAAAGGAGGGGGAAGAAAACCGTGCTCGTCGTTCTGATAGTTTCTTGCACGCGCGTGCCCGGTGTAGTATCGTTTCGCGCGCGCGAAAAAAAAAATCGATTGTTCGAGAAACATCGAAGAGAAATAGTCGACGAAGATTTCCGCTGGTTCTACGAGCAACCTACGCATCGGTGGGGGAAGGGGGAAGACGAAACGGTTCCACAGGTACACATATATACCTGAGTCTGTCGAGAGGGTTCTAGATATTCGGTGCTGCCCGTGTGTTATTTTGGTCTTCGACGGGAGAAGCTGGACGATTCTGGTGCAAAGAGATAGAGAGTCTATTGTAGGGCCTAAACGGAGGGTAGAAGACGCGAATAGAGGTAGAGGACGAACATAAAGAGTGAGAGGGACAAATCGATGGACGACGCGCATGTCCGTGTCGTGATGGATAAATAGCGTGGATCAGAAGGAGTTGCAGCGGAAGAACTAGGATCCATGGCGTCATTAGTCTTGTGGATATCGAGAAGTACTCATCAGGCATACCCTGTTAAGCATTATCACCACACTAGTTGGACCATGGATTGTCCTCGTCGTAGTAGAAGTTCCGAAGAGGATAGGGGGGGGGGGATATAAAGGAACGACGTCTCGTGACACACACATACACCGAAGAAGAAACTTGAATAGAAACTTAATTTAACCACTTAATCAACGGAGACCATCGGTACCGCTAGATTGGCACGCCCTAGAGATTAGCCACGAGATGGTATGATAGGGAACGCCGGATGTGGAGGAGTTTTGGGACACCTAAAAACGAAATAAATCTAGAAACAAGAGGCAAAAAAAAGAAAAGAAACGAAAAAAAAAAAATAACAAAACAGCACGCAGAGGGAGAAAGTGCGTAATAGAAGCGCGTGTCGCGGATTACTCGTTAATTAATTCAGATCGCAAGTAATGTTGTTCGGGCTTTCGATAGCCTTATGAAGTCCGTGTAGCTGCCGAGGCCACAGGGATAGTATATCGCGTCCCGTATAAGTTAATCCAAGATTAGTCAAGAGAGTGAGAGAGAGAAAGAGAGTCTATGCACCGAGGATCGCCGCGCAGAATGGGAGACGAGGAGTGGGGGATAGAACAAGTCCCCAGAGTGGGGTGACGTGGAAAGGTGTGCAACGAGTCGAGAACAGTTCCGATAGGGTTGTGTTGTACCCGTGGACACTGGAGAGAAGAAGAGAGTGGAAAGAGACAAAACACACACGAGGGAGGCCGAGGGTAACCGAAGTACAGTGACAATGTGTGCGTAATATGGGAATGATTATCAATCGGGAATCAGTCTACCCAACCGACGACGGGGGAATGTACACGAGAGATAGAATACCGAATGAACGACGGAGACGTGAAGAGAGAAGAAGAAGAAGAGGAAGTAGTACTGTTTGTTCAATTACGCGAGCGAAGCGGGTGTGGACGCGATCGTTCGGTAGTTAATAAGGTCCGACGTCGCGGGCATCGGCTTTGGTACTCTGGGACATATAAAATGAATTCTGAAAAAAATGTTGTTGATTAAAAAAAGCGCAAAAAAAACACAAAAAAATGATAGAAAAAACAACACACACAGATACACACACAGACACACACACATACAGCGAGCTAAATAGAGAATACGAGAGTTTAAAGTAATCGGCGCCTGGCCTGGGAACCCCAGAACGGTTTTTCCGGGGTTTAACCCAGGGCGCCTACCGATAGTCGAGGTAAACAGGATATACAACAAAAAAACAAACAAACGCTAGTAGAGAATGGTAATGTACGTAGGAGAGCACAGAGAGAAGAGAGAATAAAGCGGTGAGCACAGAGAGAAGAGGGAATAAAGCGGACATAAAGGAAACAGTAAAATATACAATATATATATATATATATATATATACATACACACATACATACACGACATACACGTGCACACACACAGACACAGAGAAGGAGAGCGAGAGTGAGAGAAAGATGGAAAGGAGAAAACATTCTTACTTAGGTGAAACAACAAAAAAATGAAAAAGTAAAAGAAAAAATGGTATAAATTCATTCTCTTAGTTTTGTCATAGGTTTAAAGAAACGCCAGCGGGACAGCTCGCTCTATAAATTCATTGACCCCCGAACGCAGAACGCCCTGTACCAACCAACCCCCGCGGGTCTGTCGTGCGTGTGTGTATATATATATATATATATATGTATATGTGTGTGTTCACACCCCAAAACAAGTGTGTCGATACGACGCCCCTTCGAAGTTTTTTTTTCTGTTTCTTTATGACGCGCAAAACCGTACACTAACAAAGAGATAAACGACGACGACGACAACGACGAGAACAACAAGTAGAACAAAGAGAAATATACCAACGACAAAAGAGAACGAAGGTGACTTAAAATGCCTGCCACACACACACACACACACACACACACACGCGCGCGATCATTTTTCAGGCCGGGACGATCCGAGAGAGAGAGATAGAGACAGAAATAGAGACCTTACCATCCGACGTATACCCTTCACGAGTAAACTCGGCTTCCGTTAGGGGAGAAAGTGACTTAGTAAATTTATTTCAAGTACTGGAATACATGTTAAACCAAATGTTAATTTGACATAAATTTCAGTAACTTCCAAAACTAAATGGTAGCAGGCCAGTCGCCTACCTCACCTTTTCCCAGGCCGAATTTGCACGCGAGGGTATACCTCTTGTTCTCGAGCTTTCTCTCCAACCGCGCGTGACCACACACGCTCTTTCATCGATTCTAGAGATGGCATGAACTACTACTTGTGATTCGACCACGGTTCGTGTTCCTGATCACGGTGATTTTTCACAGTGTATCGTGATTGTTCGTGATCGTTTCTGATCGGTGGAGACCAATTAGTCCTTTCGACGCGTCACGTAACCTGTACATTTTGTATTAACGACATCCAAAACGAACGACGACATCCAAATGACGAGTAATTGAATAAATTAATGATTATAAGTTCTAATCTATATATCACATAACCATATACGTTGTATAATTACAGTAGATCGTTCTTTCGTAATTTCTTTCTTTTCTACCGATTTTTGAAAATACAAGTAGTAATGTATTTCGTGTTCAAATCCTATTGAATGTTTTTTTTTTGTTTAGAGATCAAGAATTACGATCATAGTGAGCGAATTCACTCAAGATAAAAAAAATCACGTCCGTGATCGTGATCTGCAATCACTGTGATAAATCACTGTTAGTGATTTTACACACCATCTCTAATCGATTCACACGCGTTCCGTCTTTCTTTTTTTCGGCCCTAACCTCTAACACGTTTCTCCTTGTTGCTAGTTTTAACGGTTTCCTGAGGGCGCCTAACGCCTTTAGCTAGGGGGGGGGGCGTGAAACGAATAGGCGTTGGCCCTGCGTTTTAGGGGCAAAGAATCTAGAGACTATAGGTATCTAGGGCCTTTAGGTTAGAGAATCTATCTCTCCACGTCCGCGAGACGCGCCTTCTTCTTACATACATCCTATGAACTCACTGGGAAAAATGTGTTACATCGTTCACTGACCAAAGTGAACGGGAGGGGGGATTCCCAGCGATTGGATAACCAAAAATAAAAGTGTATCACCGCGTTCGCTGGTTCGTTCGTTTTTTTTTTTTTTGTTTGCTTTCATCGTGGCGAACCGAAACGTCGAGGATCGTAGCTTAGAACGAGAGCGAGTAAAAGAGAGAGAGTGCGATGACGCGCTTCTGACCTCGGCGACCCTGGCCCCAAAAACTACCCTAAGTGTTCAATATAAATCTAGGTGTGTTCTTGAGGTGTGCCACGTGTGGAAAAAAAAGCCACCCACATTCCCCCACGCCCTCGCCAGGGTTACATCCAGTGTCTCCAGACAAGTAGCTATCTATAGACTAATTCGTCGGAGTTTTATAAAGGTCCAGGGGTCTTGTCTCGCATAGAGAGACCATGCGCGCTCTGCACACTATGTGGCGTTTATTGGTATTAATCCGTGGTGACGTCATACGCTTGAGGAATGTAAAGGATCCTTCAGATATATATAATACTGATGAAATATAAAAAAAAAAACAAAATAATAATAGAGAAATTATTTATTTACGTAATAATTTTGGTAAATTGAAGTAATAAGTATGTCGTAATATATACGTATATGTACGTATTATTTGTATTATTTTGTTTTTTTACGTTCCATCAATATTACATACATCTGAAGGATCCTTTGCATTTCTCAAACGTGTGACGTCACGGCGGATTAGTACCAATAAACGCCATACGTTGTGCAGGGCGCGGATGATCTGTCTACGCGAGACAAAGGCCTCTAGAGCAATATAAAACACCAAAGATCAAATCTATGGGTAGTTATTTGTCTGGTTACATCACAGGCGGCCTTCTGAGGGTTCGGGACGGGCTCTCCTCTCGCTGTTTTTGATGAACTGATCCGTTACCGCCACAGCGGGGGTGTCCTGTCTCGTGTAGTAATTCGACTTGGGGGTTAGCGGGGGGAATTAATATTGAGAATCGTTCGTCGAGACACGCAGATCGCCGCAATTCGAATCCAACCGATAACGCTTTCAGGATAGATGACAGGGGGGGGGGATACGAATACACAGGGCCAGCAGTAAAGGTACGTTTTTACGTGACAGTGTCAAATTCATGGCTTTTATTATCTTGACAATGTAAACCAATGTCGCAAACAACGCGACATCTAGTTTTCACGACGACAGAAGTCATAACTGGACTACAGATTTTTATGCAAGATAACATTTTCTGAAGTGATCCATATAGATAAGAACAAATGTGGGAATTTCTGTCTTTTCTTAAGTATCATACTGGGTTCCGAATAAAATATAGAAAACTCGTTGGATCTAATGAATGTTCTGACTTTTAATGTATTTTACAGGCCCCTGTAAGCTATAAATGCATAAAAGCCGCAGCTCAGTCGTAACGTTTATAGTGTCACGAGCGTAATAAATCACGGTTTACTGTTACGTGAAAACTGGTGCCTTAAGGGTACCCGTCACGGTGCTGGTCGAACTTCGGACTAGAACCAGATACACGGTGTTCGTTCACGCTGGGATTCGTTAACTGCACGCCGGAAGATTCTTCTCATATTCGGGCGATTCGAGGACGAACGTTGTGAAATTGTTACACGGTTCGTCGAATGTATTCTCTTGCGAAGCGGTCTAGTGAACATAACCTGTACCTTACACAGAATCGCCGTGTGATATGTCAAAGATTTGTGGACTCTGTCGTGAACAGTAATGGCGACCGGTTAGGTCACGTGATCCCGACCTCTAACAGAAATCACAGTTTATAAATTAAACTGCGTATATGGTAGCTATCCCCCTCCCCATCAGATATCTATAGCTCGAAGTTTCGCTAGATTCCTGTGTTTTCTTTAATCAAATTTTGTACAATTTGAAATAGAGGTCGATCCACGTCGCCCACGAAGATCAAGGACAGTTCAGATTCGCGAATCGGGGATAGCGGCAGTTTCGAATGTGAACGAACAACGGAATCGATTCCCATTACGCGAAACGTTCCACCACCACGGTAATTTGTCTTATCAGCGACAGAGGAGAGACCCGCGAAATATCTGTCAGGCCGTCGTGTTATTCCGTTTTCCATGATGTTTCCGAATGTTTTTCACAGTTACAGAACCATGTTCGCGATGGCTGCCCGCGTCGGCACCTGGGAAGGGAGGGGGGAATCGATCGTCGTCATTACTGTCACAACGAAATCGAACGAAGAAAACGTGTTAATTGAAACGTGTAAATTGTTCGCCGAGAATAGATTGCCTTCGGCGGATCCACGTGTTTCGCGATAGGACACGCGGAACGGAGTGGGGAATGGGTTGGTAGAAGAACGATGGCCGAGTAGGAACAATTTTTTGGGGACGATCGAGAGGAGCGAAGGGAGGGGAAAAAGAGATGACACTGCGTTCGGCCCATTCGTTTTCGTGTAATGGTTCTCGCGATAAACGGTGCCCACGGAGCTGGATTACACAGGATCTCCACGGATCCGTGGTTTGTCGACAGGGTGTTCCGTGCCCGGGGGGCGTAGGAGCCCAGAAAAAAATGCTTTGCCGTCGTGCGCCTCTTTACTTTAGGCTAATATTTTAAACATTAATAATATAATAATAATAATTATAATATGATACATGTTACAATAAGATATTATTAGATGTAATTATTATATATGGTTTAGCCTAGATCGTGTTGTTGAAGAAAAAAAAAACAAAGTACGTATAAGCGAACAAAAAAATGAGAGAAAGAGAGAGAGAGAGAGAGAGAGAGAGAGAGAGAGAGAGAAAGATGAAGAAGATATGAAGTACGACGACGACGATGAGAGAAAGAGAGCGAGCGAGAGAGAGAAAGAGAATCAAGGGAAGCGGCGGTAAAAGGAAATTCCGGTCTAAGACCAAACAAATTTTGCGGCGGACTGAGCGGGACACTGACGATGAAATATTAATCCGTATTTGTTCTTTTCGTACGTCGATCGAACATTTCGTTTCGTTTTTTTTTTTTCTTTTTTTTTTTCGAGCAGTAACCTGATGACATTCGATGCTCCACATAACCCACAATTTTTGTCACGCTTAGAAGTTCTAGATCGTGCCCCATCTTTCGCAACGGGCCGTGGTATTTCTCTTGTCGCCTTTTTCGGTTCGATTTTTTTCTTTTCCTGGTTTTCCGTCGTTTACGGCCACGCGGGACAGATTTGCGGCCGTTACATTCTGCGAACCATTTCGACCCCCCCCCCCCCCAGCCCCTTTAATTCTCCTTCAGACGATTCGCAAATCCGATTCGCGTCCCGTAAACGAGCGTGTGGGCCTTAATTTGTCGTTAAACCGATCGTGTCGTAAAATGATTTTGATTCGGGTGAATTGGCGTACGAGCGGGAGAAAAAGACGACGCGTGAACGTGGGCGAAATAGAGCGAACGATTGTTTTGACACGGCGTGGTGGGTGGAGGGGATAGTCAGCCGTTTCTTAATTATTTTTTTTTCGTTGCCGCGATCAAACGCAGTTGGCGCGCGAACAATTCGAATCTTGTGAACGGACGAACGATCGACACACACACAGAAGGGAGAAACATATTATGACGATTTTACGCGAGCGAAACGAACAAAACGAAAACAATAAGAGAACAGTGTTTGTTGTGTCGAAAGGACACCCGTGGAACGTCGCCCCTGCGCAGCCCGCCACACTACGACAGAATCATTGAATGATTAAAATATAAACAAACAAACAAAAAAAATAATGAATGATGTTTTATTAATATTGTACATATTTTAAATAATTGAAGACGGACAAACAGATCGCGCGTGAATGTCGACCCCACCGGAAGATGGCCCTCCAACCAACCAAAGGGGACCGTCTCTCGCGTCGGGGTCCCCTTGTAACACTTTTTTCTGTTATTCGTTTAGCGCCGCATACACACACACACACACACACATACATCATCAGACACACTGTACACGGATACACACGCACGCACACGCCGAAAGCACGTGCGAACGTAAGACACACATATACACGCTCAGAGGATTCAAAAATGAGATAAAAGAAAAAAAGAAGATATAAGAAAAGTAATGAAAAAACGAAATGATGTACACCGCTCTACCAACTATCTCTTCTGATTGACGATTACTTTCATATTGATTATTCTGTAAGTTCTGTTTTCACACGTGAAATACATTAAGGAAGAAAACGAGAGACATTGTCCAACCCAAGTGTCATTACTTTTGATGTTAAATAAAAAATACATAATTAATAAAGCACTCTTTATCCTACCTTTCTGACTGGTACTTAAGCGCGTACGCGAGATGCCGAGGCCCAACGGCGAACAGTTGCAGGTGAGAGAGAGGGTGGAGGAGAAAGAATAATTCGAATTGTAGAGTAGTATTTATTACGCTTATATACACCTGTAATTATTCCAGCCATGTTTGATTCGTATAAATTCTAATTTCACGTACACCCCGTTGTCGTTTTCATTCCATCATCGACGGCGCTAATTTCTGTCTGTCCTTGTGTAGATTCCTTTTCCGCAGTCTTTGGATATGCTTCGTCAACTTCCCTGAGTTTTTAAGTTCCTCGTATTGCGAAACCAAGTTCAGTACCTTTTTCTCAGCTGTAAATGAAAAAAACAGAAACACGTTATTGACAATAAAAGTACGAATTCTTGTCAACAGAGTACAGGCTGTCCTGCAATATGTATTGATTGAAACAACACCTAAACTATTAACTGATATTAAATTAAAGTTCTTCAAAATCTTCTATGATACATCGGCGTATGTGTGTGTGAGGTAAATTTTTATAATATAATTTTTTCTTTAAAGGTTTCTCATGGCGTCAATAGTTTAGGGCATATCTTAATCAACACTTATTTTGGATATCCTGCACATGTAATCTAATGATAGTCTACATTTCTTCTTGAAAACAGGCTTTTCTCCTCTCTTGATAGCTTCCACTACTTCTTTCTTCTCTTGACTGATCTTCTCCTCCCTGTTATCTCTCTTCTTCTCTTCTCTTATTTGATTTTCTAATCGCTGGATAAGATATTTAATTTTCTTTATCATTTTTGGATCCTCAGTCTCTTCCAATTCCTTCTTCAGTTTCTTTACATCGTTCTCTTTCACATCACTGAGGAATCCATAAGCTTTTTTAAATTCTTTTTCCTTAAACGTGCCGCAAAGGCTATCGAATCTAGGGTCTCTGGGTATGTTTTTTTTCGCGTGTATAATTTCTCGAAATCGAGACACGGGTCTCTTCGCTGATATTTCTCGTGGCCTATTTTTATTTTCCCGCTTAAATTCGGTCTTCTTAACCTTTCTCGGTCCGAACAATGTTTCATTGTAAACTTTCGTGCCCAATTTTTCTTTAAGTTTCTGCAAGTCTTCGAAACTCATCTGTGAAAGTTCCAACCGGATCTGATCCTGAAACGTAATAATAAATTATTCTAACTACATTTAATTTAGAGACATGTTACTTCGATGGAGGGTAAAAATATAACCTGTTAAAAGGAAATTAGTAGAACAATTAATTGCAAGTATATTAAATCGAGACCTACCTGATCCTTCGTTTCGTCAAGAAGAGCATCCTCTTCGTCGCTCATGTTAAATCACAAAAAATAATCTTAAATTTGACAATCCTTTAGATACTTTCAATGAATACCCACGAAGTCGCCATATTTTTGTAGCCTCCAATGCTTTAAAGTTTAAAGGTATAGAATAAGTAGGTCACTTTTTATTCACCTTCTAATACAGGCTCGTCTTATCCCTAAAAAATGTATAGTGGTAGCATCAGACGAAAGAATGTTGATATTAATTACTATTTAACTCTTGTATTTGCATTCGTAAATATACTCACAAATAAACTTGTAGCGCGATCTACCGCAAAACACACAAGTTACTAGTCAATTAGTACATGATTTTCGTTATTAGGTGTCATCACTCTGTCATTTGACTACTAGCTTGCGCATTTTATCGTAGATGGCGCCACAAGGTCTGTTGAAGTAGTTTATTATCACGTATACAAAAATATTGATGAAAACGTTAGCAATTAACTTCTATTGATGTACAATATCAACCAAAAAGAGCTCAACAAGTGTACTACCACCATTAGCAAAAATATTTCATCTTAATGAGTCAGGTGTTTCTGTATGTTTCCTTATACATATACTGATTGTCTGAATTCATTATATTCCATTCAGTATCACGGTACATATACACACATATATGTACATACATATACATCTATGCACATGCAAAAGAGAGCTGTCATTTTAACTGATGACTCTCGAGTCGTCAGGCGGGATGCATGATTAGTATGATCGTCAGTTAGTATGTTTTCCTACACGTGTTCGTTCGTTCATACTTAGCGGTAACTTTATTCAGATTTCCTGGGAATTGCGCAACGTTATGAAATCCCTAATTTTACGTAACGCGTTGTATACCAATATATGCGTCATAATGATGACTTATTTCTATACAAGTATCACGTTATAATATCCCTCAAATGCGTAAAAGGACAATTGCGCTGCGTAAAAACCATGAACCTGTACAGTGATTCCCTCTACCTAACTTGTTACAAATTGAGATTTCAAGGTCATTGGATTCAACCGCGTAGTAAATATTAATTAATTGTATTATTACAAAGAAGAGCTATCCAATCATTTACTTCCACAATCATAATATGTATACGACTTAATAACAAGTATTCATTTGGCTTGCATTTTTACTTAATATATTAAATTGCCGAGGGATACATAGGAAATTCATATTTAATAATATACTACCAATCATCGTAAACGATATGTGTATGAGTGAAAACAGGAATTTGAAACGTATAAAGACATTTTAAACCCGAGTACATACAAATATTTTTAACATCGTATTTCTTGTTATTTCGAAATAAATTACAGGAAATGGAATTGTATTTTTATGTTATATGGATTTTTTATGCATCATAAATTTCAAATAAATTTGCCAGAATAACTAACCTACATTTCTGAATCGTAGATATCCGAAATTACGTTCCGAGGTGTAAATGAAACATTCACCACGAGGGGGAAGCACCGTCAGAGTTGTCTAAAATGGCGGGTGTGCTGTTCGAGGATATTTTCAACGTGAAAGACATCGATCCGGAGGGCAAGAAATTCGACAGGGGTGAGTCTGAAATGTTCTTTGTATCTTTGTGTATGTGCAAACATAGTTGTGCCGAAATATTTCGCGTTGTCTCGGAATTGTTAAGCGTTGCAGGCAAGACGCGCCGTCAACTTTTCGTTACGGAAATTACCGGGAAGCACATGGTGTGACAGGTTGATTGTAAATACAGATTTTCATGCGTAAATTCATTATAAAAGTATCTCAATGATTCTGGAGGTATGCTGTGTCTAACACTCAATGCTTTTCCATTGACGAAAAAGTTGCATTATTATTTTGATCGCCTTAAAGCGTATTAGTCATTTCTTAACCGACTCATCTTCTGCAGTGGCGGGAAATTTAAGACGCGAGTGAAAGAAACCACAGCTCTTAGCACTATACAGGCTGATGTTGTCAGTGTGACGTTTGCGATTGTCAACTAATAATGGGCGTTGACGCCACACTGAACGATAATTGTCTTTCGAGAATTAACAATAGCAGGTTACTGGTAAAAATTGCACGTGAAACTAGCCGGCCGGTGCAGTGTTAAAGTGAAACTTACTGTTAAAATCAACCGTTATCAATAATAACCATTATAAGTCGGTTTTCTAGCATTCTACAATACCTACCATTTTTATCCCTATCGATGATTTGCTGTACAACTAGTTTGTTTATGATCTTCAAATGTGTCTTCAAACATTTTAAATTCTTTATATTCCGCCTGAAGAAAATTAATGAAAAAAAAAAGAAATTTACAGATTTGTTTACCTCAAATACCAGGTAGTCCCATTAATACTGATATTGATATTAAAATTAAAACATTGACTGCATGTGGTGTGAATGTATATACGTTCTAAATAGAGCTAAACAAAAGATATCGTGCTTAGGACAACTTCTGCTATCAATATGCGATGAGTATCTGCGGTGTTTTAAACAATTTCTACTTCTTCCAATTTGTTTTACAAAACCGTGTTATTTTTCAAAAATAGTTCAGTTCAGTGTATTGCCGTGATGTGCCACATAGATACGACAGAAATCTGTCAGAGTGATTTTTTTTTTCCATGAAGAGACTGCGAGGGTCGAGCATGTTTGACATTAATTTGAAAGGCAACGCTTTGTGACAACCCAAGCCTTATTCTTCTGCTCGCCTTGAACTGTTATTCAAGATCTGTTACCCGCGGTTCTTTTTTTTCTCTTCCACCCTGTACATCGACCGAGCTCGCTCTCTCGACACGCGGACAAAATTGCGATTCGGTGACACGGGGAACTTCGCGAAACCGTTAGGAATCGTGGCCACGCGTGTTGTTCGACAATTTGCATTGTTCTCTACTTATCGCTACGGCTTATCGTTTTTCCTTTCAGTTTTACATTTCGCGAAGAGTGGCGACAGCGTATGACGTGTCTATTCGTTTTTTTTATCGCCGTTGCATTCGTTTTAAATTTATCCCAATTTTACGATCGCGAAGTTTTATGCGGCCCATATAAATTATTATGCGACACGCGCGGGTAATTTGACATCGGAAAACGTGGTAGAGTCGAAACGCCACGTACATATTGTTTACTGAGGAATATTGAAAAAATTATGAACGACCCCATCGAAACTGGTTGAAAATTTGTTTACAGTATTTTCAAATATTCTAGTTACAGTATTTCCCGATTTCCATTTGGCTTTATCGTCGCAGGTGGAAGTTGGCAAGCTCAAGGTCACTTGGAACATTGATACGCGTGCCAGAATAATGGCGTCACTACAACCATGTGGTTGTACTTCTTGCGTGTGCCATAAAAATCGGGAATTTATTTAAAACAATCGTAAAATAAATGGTTAAAAAATATTGTTTTTTAACTGACATAATTTTTATATGGTATTTTATGTCTCTACTGTAAGTACCCACAAAGCTCATTTTGATTAGTTTGTTAGTTCAGTAGTTATGATTTATTGAAAAAACAGGTTGACCCTAAATTTCAAACAGCTGTAAAATCAACAGTTTCCAAAATTTTCAAAAATCCTTCAATATACGTTTATTTATCGCTAAAGACTACAACATATTCAAATTTGAACAAAATCCGAAATGGTGCTCCAAAAAGTCTCCGATTTCGCGTGGAATGACGCAGGTACTAAAATTACATTTTCACATGACAGTCACGGCTTTTGTTGCCGTGGCACTGTCTGACAGTGAAAACCAATGTCACGACAACGTGACATTTAGTTTTCACGACGGCAGACGTCATAACATTTAGTGTTACGACCGTAAAAGTCACGATTTACTGTCACGTGAAAACGCACTTTAAGCATTTTTGGCAATCGACGAATGCGGCATCACAGTCAGTGGCGGGGTCCGCGATCGATCAATCTGAGTCAGCGGTGAATAATTCGAAAGAGCAAGAGCGACGCGGTTTCACCCGCGTCACCCTATATTTTCACCTACATTACCGCCGGGGAAAGGGTTTCGCTGCTGCTGGGAGCAGCAGCAGCCTTCCACGCGGGTTGGGTGTTAGTGGAGCCAGCTACGGGAGCGACAGAGAAAGATATCTCGGTCGGGGCGGCGTGGAAAAGGACCGCGGGCATTGGGGGCGGAAAAAGAGCGAAGGGACGCCAGGAACGGCGCGGCGGCTCGAAGGTTGGCGTTTCTGGTGGTTGGTTACATGGTGGCGAAAGCATTTTTTCCAAACAGATAGGAATTGTATATATTTTTGTTCGCAAAATTTCTGGATAAACTTCCGAAAAACAGCCATTATCTCCGACCAAGTCTGAATGACTTTTTTCTTGAATATTTCCTGCGGATATGTTCAGACTGCATACAAAAAAATTGTTGCTATTTGAATTGCATAAATTTCGCATCAGATGTACAGCACTCATTGGGTTTTACCGCAAAACTTCGCGTTCTCGACGGTCGTCATCAAAACTCACGATAGGGATCGTCTTAATGACTGTCCAGGCCCGATCGACACCCTCCTTATCATTCATCGTGTAAGATTTCAAAGTTCTCCGTAGGATGTTCGTCGTGTCATCCCCGTGGCCATATACACATAGAATTACTTATGCACGATTCCTCTTTTGACTTTCACCGGGCCGTCGCAGGGAGGATAGAGACGCGACGGCCGCACATTTATATAGGTATGTAGAGTAAAAGGGCGGTGGGACGCGCGCAATTCGCCGCTGCCAGCAGCCTAGGCTCTCTTCGTTGTGTGTGCCTGCACGAAGGGTGTGGCGTGGAGGGGGCAAACGAGATATATATACCATTGAACGTGTCAGTGGGGGTCGAGGGATGTGTAAAACGGGTGGGGGAGGGGGGTAGTCTGCTGCGACCGGTCGATGCAGCAACGAGATGCCCGCAGCCGCAGCAGCAGCCAGCACACGGAGCAACATCGCATTCGCGTAATACGACGCGACTCTGCTGAATACCCGCCGGGGGGAGGGGGAAGTGAGGTCGTGGGAGAGGGGAGGGAGCGTCCGGGACGCGCGTTAGAGCGACCGCTGCGGCGCGGTGGGGGTTGACACGGTCAAGGTCAGTCTCGGTTCCAAGGTCGCGGGGAGATGTCATCTCAGGAGGGAAACCGTGCGCGCGCGCGGGCGTCCTTTCCTTCTCTGTTCCGCCGCCGCTCTTTCGTTTAACGCTGTATTTGCGTCTCTGTTTTCTCTCGATTTGTTTGTTCTATCCCCTCATACTCTCCCAGTACACGCCCGTTGTTCGACGCGATTTCCCTCGCGTTTTCTGCAATCTTATGCGCTTGTTGGCGTTGCGGTGCAATTGCGATTGTAATCGAGATTTCTGCGGCAAAACCTTCTATTGCTTTACTTTTCTCTCTTGGTCTACGATGGTTCTCTGTCTCTCTTTCTCTCACGTCGATGGGTCGTGTTTCTGTTTTTTTGGGGATCTAGAGGAGAGTATACAGGCTGTCTCAGCAGCTTGACTACCTCGTAGACCAATAGTCATTATTCGAGGTGATCAAGTTTGCTGATGCACCCTGTATATGTAGACAGTGGGTAACAAAAGTATTCGCAACACTCTTTAAAACGGAAGAACTACTTTAAAATTAGTTTAGTTAGAAGTTAAAAAGATTAGTTTATTATGTTGAAAAAGTGGTAATTGGGCGGAATCACTTTTTTAACGAGGTTCAGCACAGTGATGGAGTTTGGAATTCTGAAGCCAATGATATTTGTGTCAGCCGCATGTGGCCATTAATTTGTGGAATATTTAATATGTTCAGTGTCGGCGAGCCTTCGAACACTCATTCGAGGATTTGCTGTAACACACTATTTCGATTATGCACGCCCTTGAGTTCCGCGATATTTGTGCCCAGTAAAGGTATTATCGCAATGAAATTCGCTGACAACCGCCCGTCCCAAGCGATTAATTTTATACACGAAAATGGAAATGAAGTCGATATCATATGTCAGAACGGGTGGGGAATATACGTTCTATTCGCGGGATATCGTGCCGACAGAAGGCCCGTCAGAAACAAGAGGCTTGATTAACGGGAACAAATTAATAATATCATTTTCCCCGTCATCCAGTCCATGTCGGTGGGAATACCTCCTCCCCCCCCCCCTTGGTTTCGAGGAATCGAAATGGCCGCACGTTTCGAAAAGTCGCTTGATTCGTTCGGCGTAAACGAACCGTGACACACGCTCGTTGTTTAACAAAAATTCGTAACAAGCGGAGCAACATCGGGAAAAAGGGTTTACACGGTTCTCCAAACAAAACAACTCCCTCCGATTGATTGGTCATTCAGGCGTGGTGGGAGGGGTTGATCAACGGTTATTCGATTAAACCTGGGGACCAAACCCCGGTGGAAATGGTGCTTAACCCTGGATTGCCAACGTTCCTATATCTACACGTTTCAATTCCTCGTCTGGCATTTTACTTGAAAACGGGCTTTGCGTTGTTTAAAAGTTCCTGATAAAACGTGAATGTCACCAAGTTACAGAAGGAGGGGTTATTGTCAAATTTCCCATAAATTCCCAAATTTTTCCGGCACTTTTCTGAATCCAAGATGGCGGAAAAAACCTGCACGTTTGTGGG